GACCTGTGTTGCTGAGCCTTAAGTGGAAGCGGGGGGTAGAATAGAGGGTGACTGCTAACGTGGACAGGTTTCTTTTGAGGATGATGAAAATGGTCTGAAATCAGGTAGTGGTGATGGCTGCACAACTCTGTGTGAATATCCTAAAAATTATAGACTTGTAGTTTAAAAGAATTGGTGACATTTATGGTAAATGAATTATATCTCTGTAGAGCTCTTATGTTAAAAAAGAAGACCACTCTTGTTGCTTGAGGGACTGGGGCAGAGGGGAGGCTGGGAGGCCAGGTGGTCAACAGAACAACCACAGGCTCAAAGGACCAGTGCTTCGAAGGCCCTCGGTAAGCACCTGTGGGCACCTGAATGAGCTGATCGCTGCTCAGGAATGCTCTTCTCTTCTAACCCAGGGTTTCTTAACCTCGGCAATATTGACGTTTGGGACAGAATAATTTTTTGTTATGATGGCTGTCCCGTGTATTGTGGGAATTTTAGCAGCATCCCTGGTATCTATCCACTAGATGCCAGCACTCCCCCTCCCCAAGTTGTGACAATCAAAAATGTCTTCAGATGTTGACAAAGGTCTTCCGAGGGGCAAAAATGTCCTCAGTTGAGAACCATTAGCCCAATCTCCCTGGCTCACCTGATGAATTTCTACTTATCTTTCCTGATTTCTTTCTTTCTTTCTTTTCTTTCTTTTTTTGGAGACAGAGTCTTGCTCTGTCGCCAGGCGCCAAGCTGGAGTGCAGTGGCACCATCTTGGTTTACTGCAACCTCCGCCTCACAGGTTCAAGCAATTCTCTTGCCTCAGCTTCCCAAGTAGCTGGGACTACAGATGCGCACCACCACGCCCAGCTACTTTTTTTGTATATATATATTTTTAGTAGAGACGGGGTTTCACTATGTTGGCCAGGATGGTCTCGATCTCTTGACCTTGTGATCCACCTGCTTCGGCCTCCCAAAGTGCTGGGATTACAGGCCTGAGCCACCGCGCCCGGCCTCCTGATCTATTTCAAGCATCATCCCTTCTGGGCAGCCTTCACCCCGCATCCCCTGAGGTCCCACAGTTTTCTAAACACCCCATCAAAGCCCTGAAGACCCTGCTTACACACTACTCTCCCCACCCCCCACTGTCTGTAAGCTTCCTCTAGGGATGGCATCTTACATATGTCTTGGTCCCAAGTGTCTGGCATAAACCCTTGCACTTCGGAGGTCATTCTTGTGCCATTTCTTTACCCTTACAGAGGAGGGATGCATTGCTTTTCACAGCATCTCTGATCCCTGCTTAAATGTTGGTTGATTGAATCTGTCAACTCTTCCTGAACCTGATTAGGAGTGTAGGCTCTGGATTTAGATGTCCAGGGTTCAGATTCTGTGAGACATTGGGCAAGTGGCTGAACACATGTGATGCTTGGTTTCCAATCTGAAAGTGAGTCCCATAGGGTTATCATAAGAACATAGTAAGAACACAAATAGCAGATACTACTGATATTAACAATTTTGTATTTCTTTCCTCTAAGGGGCCTGCTAGGCCTCAAATAGAGGTGCCCTTATCACTGACAGGCCTTCACGTGTCAGCCCCATCCTCAGAGGAGGCTGATTACATCATCCCTATCTTCAAGGAGCCCTGGGGGTGGAGCATACCTGTAAACTGTGGGGTCCTAGAAGATCTGGTTTGAATGGAATCTTGAAGGATGAGTAGGATGAGGTTGCTAAGCAAAGGAGGGCATTGCAGGCAAGAGAAGTTTCAAGTGGGAAGTTTGGAGGTGGGCAAGAACATAGTTAATTCAGCCAGCTGGATGTAGATTGTCGTAGGTGGACCAGCAGAGGGAGGGTGGGTGGGTGGGGTAGCTGGAGGCGAAAAGGCTGGCCAGAGACTAGACCACGATGAGCCATGTATGTCAGTCTAAGGACTTTGGTCTTGATCCATTTGGGAATGATGAGTCTTGGAATATTTTTGAGCAGGGGAGCAGTGTCTCAGATCTGTGTTATCACACTGACAATGGGATAAAGGATGTATCAGAATTGAAGGGGACAAGATAGAAGACATGCAGATGATAAAAACTTCAATCTGGAAAACATTACTTGAACCCTTTTAGAGACAATTTAGTCTTTATTGTAGGCCGAAGACAGGCCACCCTCAGAGACAGGGCACCCATTTTACTGAACCATATGGTACCTTTTTTTTTTTTTCTTTTCTTGAGACAAAGTCTTGCTGTGTCACTAGGCTGGAACGCAGTGGCGTAATCTTGGCTCACTGCAACCTCTGCCTCCCTGGTTCAAGTGATTCTCCTGCCTTGGCCTCCCGAGTAGCTGGGACTACAGGCACGCACCACCACGCTCAGCTAATGTTTGTATTCTTAGTACAGATGGGGTTTCACCGTGTTGGCCAGAATGGTCTCACCTACCTCGAGTGGTTCCCAAAGTGCTGGGATTATAGGCATGAGCCACCGCACCCAGCCAGTACCTCTTTTTTCAGTCAGGCACCCTCCTTCCTGCTCTCAGAACTCAAAGCCAGGTAGTCCACTAATTATTAAAGAACATGTTCATTGCATAAAATCTGGTAAGTCCAGAAAAAGCACTCAGGGAACAAATCTCTCATGACCTCACCATCCGTGGGCAAACATTGTTAACCCTCTCTAGCCTAGGTCCTGCCAGTCTTTTCTCTAAGCTCTTGTCACATATTTGGGACCCTGCCATCTGTATGCCTACACAAAACATGTTTCCATTCATTAAAAACTCTCCACTTTTGGTAGTCACGTGGCTGTTCCATAACTTTATTGACTCCCTGTTGGACACTTAGGCACTTTCTGACTGTTGATGAACATCTCTGCACATGAAAGAGGCTTTGTTCATATCTCCACCCTTTCATTTGGATGTACTTTTCTTCTTTAAAACATTTTTGGCAAAGGAAGTTCTCTAGCCTGCTGGGACGCCCTTCTCCCCATCATCAGAGTTTTCTTCCTCAAGTCTGAACTAAATCCTTGGGATTGGAACTTAATCCCGTTTCCCCTGCTTTGGGGTGTTGGCGGAGATGGACCACAGCTGGTCTTGTTTTTCCCATGGACTCATCGCCTGGGAGGGTCAGTAGTTAATCATCAGCCTAGGATGGAGAGTGGGATGTGCCTATGAGCTCAGGAGAATCAGCCTAGGCTGAGATGAATAAAGACAAGGTTAACTGGGACAAGGTGAAGGAGAAAGCAGAGAAATTGGTGGGCTCAGGTGAGTCAGTCTGATATCTGCTTCCTATGTAGTACTGAGTAGTGTGACCTTCCTTCCTTCCAGACCCTTCGAGAAATCACAGACAAGAGTGCGGCAACCCTGCTGCCAGCCTTTGGGCTCACTTTCTCCAGTGCTTTGTAGCAGCCCTTCATGTGACACATGGAATAAGAAGCCAGCGCTGATTGTTCACGTGCCAAGTGCCAGGCCCTGTGCTCCGCCTTAACTTATACAGTCATATTTTGGGGCCAGCACGATAACAACCAGAAGCATCCTGGAGGCGGGCAGACTTGGGTCCAGTCTCTGCACAGGCACTTCTTACCAGTGTGACCACATGGCAATCATTTACTTCTGGGACCCTCAGTTTCCTCATCTGTAAATTGTGGTTTGATGGCACCAGTTTCCCAGGATTGCTGTGGTGGCTCTAGCCAGTGCCATACTTGCAGTACACCGAGTACCAGGCCTGCAAGGAGCAGGTTCTCGAGATAGGTTATTTTCTCACAATATGGAATTCTCCTTATATCCTAGGTCAGATATAAGGAGAAAATGCCACCATCCAGACCCAGAGATGTCAAAAAATGTAATCTATCCGATTGCCCTGGATAACCTCCGGGGACAGGAAACTCATTAGTAGGTAGGAATTTATAACTTCCTTTTATAAATAAGGAAACTGAGGTGCTGAGAGATTATGCCAGGAGTCTTCACAGGACAGAAACTGCCATCTGACAGACGTCATGTCTTAGAGGAGCATCAGCCTCAGGATAGGTGTGGAGTGGAGGCTGGAGCTTCTGGGCCCCCCACATTCCCCAGGCCCTGCTTCATGTCCATCACCACCCAGTCACCACCCAGCTCCACTGATTGACCATCTCTGGCAAAGGACACAGAGGGGATCTAGAGCATACAGATGACTTCCCAGGAGGTAACTGGTGCCAGGACTGGACCCACCTGAGCTAGGGCATGACAGCTGCCGCTGGGGACACCACAGCACACAGGCACTTTCCTGCTCCACCTCCTTCGCCTCACAACACCTCATGGAAGGGCAGGGGATTAATATGGCCCTTTTCATGGAGAAGGAAACTGAGGCTCTCGAGCTCAAGGTCACTGTCGAAACTGGGATTCCTATCAGAGGCCACTTGCGCGGCTCATCCCACAGGCGAATCCCCCTCCAGATGTCCCCAGCAAGGACTCCCGACCGCTGAGCGCTGCCCGTCGTCGCTCCGGGCGTCGGGCAGCAGGCGGCAGCCCAGAGAGATGAAGGCAGGTCGTTCTGGTTCCCTGAGGCATAGAAGCCCCCTCCCCACCAGCCCCCCGCCCTCCGCTGGCTTCCCTTTAGCAGAAAGTTGCTCCATGCTCCGACAGACACATCGCCGCGAGAAAATGCCACCACCCAGACCCGGAGACAAAACGGGGAGTGTTTCGGCGCAAGTGGACTTTCCAAATCCACCCCTCTGCGGGCAGAGGGGACACAAAGCCGACCCGCGCCCCAAGCACTGCCGTGGACCGGGGCTGCATTCAGAGCTCTCAACTCCCCCCTTGGGGCAGGCACGACCCCCGCGGGTCACAGAGAAGGAAACTGAGGCTGGCAGGCCAGGCGGAGGCAGCTGCCCAAGGTCAGGCACAGCCAGCGAGCGGTGGGGCCGGGGCTCGAACCCGGGTTCGGGGCCACGACGGCCGATGGGCATCCCGGAGCAGCCCCCACGGGCGGAGCCGCAAGCTCAAGCCGGGTCTCCGAGCCCGCCCGGGACCCCACCCCGAGCCGAGGCCCCGCGGGGAGGCGGCGGCCGCGTTACCTGGTGCTGCTGCGGCGGGCGTTGGCTCCGCACCGGGTTTGCCTTGGTCCAGCGCCCGCGCCGGCTGCCGGGCAGGGATGGAGCGGGCGGCGCGCGCACGGCCTGCGCCCCGAGCCTCGCACCCACTTCCTCGTCTCCGCCCCCAACTCGCTCCTCCTTGCTCTCAACGCTCCTTCCCTTTCTTCCCTCTCCAAGTCTCTCTCTCTCTCTCTCTCTCTCTCTCTCTCTCTCTCTCTCTCTCTCTCGTTCTCTCTCTCTCAGCGCGCACACACCCACATTTTCTCCCCCAGCCTCCCCCTCCCACAGTCTCACCCACTTTCTATTTTCCTTTCTCCTACACCTTCCCTTTTCATGTCGCTGACTCTGATACTTGCCCCTTCCTCTTCCTTTCTGCCACGCTGCCCCCTTTTTCTCTGCCTTTTCTCCCTGGCTCCTTCCCTCTCCCCGCCCGGCTGATTGATCAAGGGCCCGCCCTTGACCAGGCAACCGTCTGGTCTGAGCCCCAGCGTCCACCTGTGCAGATATTGGCTGAGTGGCCACAGCTGGAGGACCTGCCCTGGGTGGGCGCTAGATCCAGGAGGTCAGGTGGCATCCCTCACATTGGGCACCTAGGATCCAGGTGGAGTCAGGCTAGATGGGGGTAATAACTAGTTTTGAGGGAAAAGCTTGAATAATTCTGGAATCTGAAATCTAGGAACACAAATGCAGAAATTAAGTAGTCCAGGGGTTATTAATTACCAAAAAAAAAAAAAAAAAAAAAAAAAATCAGCAAAACTTCAAAAACCCTAGGGCTTTGTTTTGATTGAAGGAGGGGATGAAGAGAGAGAGAAGTAAGGAAGTAGGCTTTCGGAAAAGGGATTTTGGGGATAGGGAGAATAACGCCCACCTTCCAGATGAGAAAATGAAGGCTCAGATGGGAAAACCCATCTCTTAAATATCAAGATATCAAGGCCACTGTGCTAACCACGCAGATCTCCGTGGAGGGAGCCTGGGTGGGCAGGATGGTGAGATTTTCACCAGTCCTGGACAGCAGCCCAGTGCATGGGAGGCAGGCGGTCAGCTGGGCTGCCCTGGTTTGCTTGGGGAACCTGGTGTGTGGAGGGGGATTTCCGTGGAAGCTTGGCAAAGGATAGCGAAAGTGAGGAGGGTTCAGCTAGCATGCATTTCAGACACATGCCACCACTGATTGATGCACCACCTCAAGCCATTCTGTCACCATGGACCAGCCCTATGCCAGGGGCTGCAATGCAGAGGATGAGGGGCCATGGTCCCCTAGCTCTCAGTTCACAGCTTCTGGAGAGGCTATTATTGCACTGTGTGACCAAGTCATTGTCATCTTGGAATGATAAGAGTCTCCAAACTGGTCTTCTGGATGCATCTCTTATTCACCTGCAATTCACAAAGCAGCTCAGATAATCTCTGAAAAGTGTAAATTGGATCATGCCTTTCTACTTACCTGCTTCTAGACCTCCTAGGACTTCCTGCTGTAGTTCAAGTAAAATCCAAGTTCCTTGTCACTGCCGAGAGACCCCACCCCACGTGGTTTGCAAGAGCCACCTTTCTGATCTCATCTCTCACCACTCTTTACCTCTCTCTTTGCACCTCAACCACAGTGGTTTCCTCCCGGTTCCTGGAACAAGCCAAGTAAACCATGCCACAGGCCATTTGCACAGGTTGTTTCTTCCACCAGGAAAGCTCTCCTCTGTTCCCGTAGTTGCTTGAGTGTCACCTCCTCAGCGAGTTCAACCCTAACCAACTTATCTAAAGGAGTCACCTTCCTGCCTATAGTGTTTTTCACAGCAGCCCCTTTTATTGTAATTAACACATTTATCACTGTCTAAAATTATTTTGTTTTCCATTTTCTTTCTTTCTTTTTTTTTTTGAGACGGAGTTTTGCTCTTGTTACCCAGGCTGGAGTGCAATGGCGCGATCTCGGCTCACCGCAACCTCCGCCTCCTGGGTTCAGGCAATTCTCCTGCCTCAGCCTCCTGGTTTTTCATTTTCTTATATGCTTATTGCCTGCTTTATCTCACCAGCATACAACTGGGGAAGGATTGAGACCTTGTCTGTATTGCTCCCTGTGTCTCTGCAGAGCCTAGAATGGTACCTGGTATGTAGTAGATGCTCAATAAATGTTCACTGAATGGGCGAATTTAAAAAATACTGTAACAAAGAGGTTTAGAGAATGGAAAAGAGCTGGGCTTGGTGGCTCACACCTGTAATCCCAGCACTTTGGGAGGCTGAGGAGGGATCATGAGGTCAGGAGTTCGAAACCAGCCTCCTGGTGGTGATACCCCCTCTCTATTAAATATACAAAAATTAGTCAGGCATGGTGATGGACACCTGTAGTCCCAGCTACTCCAACTCCAGCCTGGGCAACAGAGAGAGAGACTCCGTCTCAAAAAAAACCAAAAACCAAAACAAAAACAAACGGGAAAATGGAAAAGTTGATTGATCCTGACAAAGGAAAAAGAGGATTATCTTCAAAGAGATTACTTATAGGTCAATCCTAAAAGAAAAGCAACATTTCACAAGATGGAGAAGCGGGGAAGGACTGTGCAAGTTGAGGTGACAGCAGAGAAAGGAACTGAGGCGTGAGGTTCAGCAGGGCTGCGAGCCAAGGTGAGGGGAGCATGGACAGAGCCAGGAGACAAGGCTGGAGAGGCCAGCGGGAACCTGATCTGGGGAGGACTCGGATGGCAGTTCGGACTTGATCCTGTTATCAAGAGGGAGATTATGGCAGATCTTTAAGCAGGGGAGGGCTGCAAAGGCTGGGATGTGTGTCCTGGAGTAGAGAAGGCTCCAGTGACCTTGGTCTCTGTGAAGGACCTCTGTGCAGAAGGAACAGACGAGAGAGCAGCACTGAGGCCAATGGTAGAAACAGAATGAGATGTATTTCCGCCCAGTAAAGAGTGCGTTTTTAAAGGAGGTGAAGAGGAAAACAGGCTCCGGGGTAGTGGAATCACCATCCACACATCTTCAGCACCCCTCCCAGAAAGAGGATGATGTGTCTGGGACTGGTGTGGCTACTGATGTGCTGGTAGAAATGATGCGTATTTCTTCTCAGCAGAGGCTTTAGGGCCAGTGAGTGCCTGCCACATTCCTTTCCTGTCTGCCACAGGACTGGCACCATTCAGGCATGGTTCCAGGAAGAGGCTGCTCCGTCACCTGGGTCCCAGAGTGAAACCGCAAAGGCCCAGCCGGCTCCCAGTGGACATGATAGATACTTACATTACGTGTTGTAGGCCATTGTGTTTTCTGGAGTCATCTGATATTGCTGTATTGCCACAGTCCCTTGGTCTGTCTTAGTGAGTCACAGGCTCAGCCAGGTTGGTTCCAACACTCACTAGCTGTGATGGATTTTCAAAGAAAATCCATGAATATGGCAATTCAGCCCAGGCTTCTTTGCAATGGAACAGCACCTCCTATCAAGAGGTGGAGTATATTTCATTGCTCCTTGAACTTTAGGCTGACCTTGAGACTTGCTTTGACCCATAGAACCCAGTAGAAGTGATGCAGTGTGGCTTCCGAGTTTAGACCTTAAGAGACCTGGCAGCCTTAGCATCCCCCCTCTCAGAACGATACCCAAGACCAGTGTGCTATGAAGATATCTAGGACGAAAGGCCACATGGAGAGAGACGCTCAGCAGCCACAGCCCCCACAGCGGATCCACTAGCTGAACGCAGCCACATAAATAAGCTCAGGTGGGGCCAGCACAGGAACCACTGTTTAAAGCTAGTGGAGTGGTTTAAAGCGGTTTAAAGCTAACTGGAGTGGTTTGTTATGCTGCAGTGAATGACTAGGTAAGTGGCATTTGGGGAATCGACTCCTGTCTGAAGTTCCTTTCCCTGACTATAAAATAAGCACAACAGTAACGTTATGTTTGAAAAGAGTCTGTTGGAAAGAGACTGTCTCTTGTATAGAGACAATGTCCATTGTAAAGTGTGTGGATGAGGCTCAGATATTTTAAAAGAAAGTATATAACGTTCATTGATTCATTCAGGAGACGTGTGTTGAGTACCTATTGTGTATGTGTCAGACACTAGGTGTAGTCTCTGTAGCCTCTGGTCTACTCTGGGTCTGCTCTGGGTGTACTCTAACGCAGCAATGAGCGAGACAGGCAAGGACCTGCCATGCTAGAGGGAGATGAAACAAGCCTGAGAAGTCCAGCTACAGATAGTTGCTTTGGGGAAAGCCAACAGGCTAATGTCATTGAGAGTGACTGGGCTAGCATTTTGTTTAAGATACCTGGGGAAGGATTTTCTGAGCCTGTGACATTTGCTCCAAGCCAGGAATTTGTACAGAAAAGGGAGCAGCCTCCCTGTGAAGGACCAGTAAGTGCAAATGGCCTGGGGCAGGGCAAGTTTGGCCTTGACGAGGAACAGGAACCAAGTCAGTGTGGCTGGGTGTATAAAGAAGAGGGACAACAGCCAGAGATGGGGTTGGTGCAGGGCCTTGTAGGCCATGGTAAGGTGGTGGATTTCATCCTAAATGCAATGGAGCTGTTGAGATTCTCATAGGGTAGTGATATCCTTCATACACTGAAAAGTAAGTTATTGTGGAAGCAGTTCGTGGTTGGCCACCCATCTGATCAGGACAGCACAGTTGACCCTGTACCAGCTCTCAAAGTTTCCAATTCTGTACTAGATCTGAAAACCTTTGGAAGCTCCTAAGCATCTTCATCAGAAAAGGATTCTGTGTTGTTAGGAATAACCAGAATTGAGGCCCCCCACTCCACCTTGCTGGAGGGCTTTGGGATCTCATAGCCCCAAATCCCTCCTGGCTCTCCATATGTAACAAGGACCATGTTTCAAAGGAAGCCGGAAGAGGCCTCTCGTTCTGAGGAAATCCAAACCACTATTGGACCAAAATAGAAAAACGTACTTTCTTTGGAATGAGTAATCCCTGCTGAGTCTGACTGCTTGAAATCAGAAAACAAAACAAAATAACAACAACCCCAAATCCCCACAAACCCAACAATTAAGATTCTGGGTGATATGGTATGGTAATAACTTTTACCCAAGTGGTCTGTGGAAAATTCTGATAAAAACCTCCTGGTTTTTTTTCATTGGTTATTTCTTGTTTGCATCCTGTGCTGTGCGGTAGCTCTGGGGTTTACGGTAGGGCACCTCAACTGCGGTCGGTCTGTGTGGGTATAGATTTCCTGGCCGTCA